ATATAAAGTATTAAGAATTTAGCTATAGCTCCTTAAGGTATTATAATAGGACTAAATACTTACTATATACTAGCCCCTATATAATAGAGAAGTATAACTATAAACACTATATAAAGAGAGGCATAATATATACCTATATAGTACTAAAGTATAGTAACTATAATAGTACTTATTACTCCTAGGACCTAAACTATCCCTACTATCTAATAAAGATACCCCCCTAGTATATATATTAGGTAACCTTAAAGTTATATAAGTTAACTTAAACTAGAATACCTAGGCTATAGAAGTAGCACTCTAGGATACTCTCTAATTAGGCATCTACCTAATATTTATCTAGGAACTATAGATAATACTATAAGATAATATAGCTAATATATAATTAATCTCCTACCCCTCTATAATATAAATTCTTCTAACCTTCCTATAGGGCTTATATCCTTAGATAATACTCTACCTAAATAAATCCCTTACCTATATCTAGGTAAATCCTTACCTAGATATCTTCCCTAGCCCTAACTACCTTACTATAGATTTAACCTATAGAGAAGATACTATCTACATAGTTAATATCTATAATAAGGTAGAATAAGGCACCCTATCCTCCCTATATATAATAGAAAGAGTTATTAAGTATAGCCCCCCTACTATACTAATAATCTATATAGGGGACTTTAATAAATACTATCTAATATAGGACCTACTCTCCCCCTAATCTTATAAAGTAGAAGCTCTATATAAATAGATTAAGGAAAACCGCCTTAAACTCTAAAACTAACCTAGAGTAGATACCTTCTTTTATATAGGGATAGAAAGAGAAACGGTTATTAACCTCTCCCTATATACTCTAATAGTTACTACTTAAGTAATTAACTAGTAGGTATAAGAGAACCCCCTATCTAACTATAATACTATTCTCTTTACTATTACGTATAATAAGTTTTAAGATATACTAATACTACTACTATAGTTTAATATTAAAAAGGCTAACTAGGCCTAGTATAGGTAAATTATCTAAGAAGAGTTAAATAAGATTATAAGTCTACTTATCTAAGCCCTTCCTAATAGGGCATAATATATACTCTCTAGTAGGACCTTATAAGAGGACCTAGACTAACTTAGATAATACCTTATAAAGGTAATAGAGATAGTAGCTAAATGTAGTATCCTATAGGTAACCTCTAGATAGTAATAAAAACTATAGTAGTTCCTACTCCTTATAGCCTTAAGGATAACCGCTATATAAGTAAGGCGTAGGGCATATTATAACTAAGTTATATATATATAAGTATAGAATATATATAATATAGCTATTAAGTAGGTAAAATAAGAGTACTAGAATAACTTCCTTATAAAAGAAACACCCTAGTCTATCTATAAGGTAATAGTATACATAAAAGTAACCTAATCTAAGTAAATCCCCTAGATACGTAACCTTTAAGATTAACTCTAATCATTATATAATAGTAAGTATACTACCTTCTATTAGAAACTCTTCCCCCTACTACTATATATTCCCCTACGTAACTAGATAAACTATAAGGAAGGGCTATAGGACTAGCCCTCCCTTATAGATAAGGAAGTATAGTATACCTACTCTTATAAGATTAAAGGTACTACCCCTAGGCTAGACTAGATCTACTAGAAGATAATTACTAAGGCGTATAATGCTTATCCTAAAAAATTTACCTAGATATACTAAACCTTCTTTATATATAGATATTACCTAGAATACTAGAGAGAAGTAGTAGGTATAATACTTAAGAAGCTAGGGAAACCTAATTATATAGACCTAAAAGTATATAGAGTTATCTCCCTACTTAACTACCTAGGAAAAGTCCTTAAACACATTATAGTAAAATATCTTAGAGTACTTATAGAAGCTACCTACCTCCTATACCTATCCTAAATAGGTAGATAACTATAGAAGTTAGTAATTAATATAGTAATAATCCTTATATATATTATCTAAGATAAGAGGAGGATATAGTATAAGATATTAACCCTATTCCTTAACATATAAGGTGCCTTTAATTATATAGCCTATAACTAGCTCTTATATATAATAGGGGAAATTAGGCTTCCTACCTCCCTCCTAGTATAGGTAAAGATATTTACTAGTAGGTAATAACTCTAGATCTCCTTTAATAGCTAATAAGAGGACCTTTATCTAATAGTTTTAGGAATCCCCTAGGGAAGCCTAGTCTTACTAATCCTATTTCTTATTTATATATGAAAACTCTTTTCCTCTTACTTAGTCTAATTCCTCTTATATATTAATAATGTTTTAATTATAATCTCCTTAATAAGCTAGAAGAAAAATGTATAGATCCTCTAGTAGGAAGCTAACTAGCTTTTCTTACTTAGAACCTAATATACCGTTAATTTTAATAAAGATAAAATAGACCTTATCTATTTTATAAGCTTAGATAAGGCTAAGTAAGCTATAATTATACTCCTAGGAGACTATATAGTATAGCTAAAGTAACTCATCTAATAGCTTAGAATATAGTTTAATATATACCTATTATTCTAGTAGTATATAATAATTTAGAACGCCTAAGTAAAGTAATTACTTAGTAGGCTTATATAGCTAGCTAATATATAATATAGACTATCCCCTACTACTATCTAATAACTATACCTAGCTTATATATAAAGTATAGTAGATTATAGGTCTCTAGTTTTCTAGTAAGTTAGTAGCTCTAAGATACTTAGATGAATACTTTAAAATAATAGACTATACTAAATCCTAGGAGCCTTTTAGACCTCCCTAATTACCCCTATAGAAATTAAAGTAGGACTTCTCCCCCCCTACCTAAGGCATAATATATTACTTTAAGTATATACTATATAACTCTTTAAGCTTAGTTACTAATACCTAGTATATATAATTATTAATAAGTTTAAATAAGAGAATATACTAGGATAATAGACATAACTTAAACATGTCTAGAGTATAATTTTAGACCTAGTAATAGGTACTAAAAGCCTAATTAAATATAGTTCCTTTCCCCTATAGAAAAAGACTACTCTATATAAAGTTAAGATTAGCTACCTCCTAAAGGAATAAGAAGCCTAAGTATATATTAGATATATAGGATATATAACTTAGGTAGTTATCCTATACTCTAATACTTTATCTATCCTAAAAGGAAATAGAGTAGGTATAGGAATTATAGTATATAATACCTAATAAGATAGTATAAGAGTAGTAGTAAGATATAGAGGAAATACTAGACTATACTAGCTTATATATAATAGAGAACTAGAGGTACTTATAAGGGCTATAGAGTTAGCTACCTAGAAATAGCTAGGATAATAGATTATAGTATATATAGATAACTAAGCTATACTATACTACCTCTAAACCCCGTCTAACCTACTAGGTTAAGGACTATAACTTTAAGCTATAGATATAGGCCACTTAATTATAGCTAGATAAGGTAGTCTTACCTTCTTATAGGCCCTAGGCTATATAGGGATTAGAGGAAACCTATAAGTAGATACCCTTATAAAGGAGGCTACTAAGCTAACCCTAGAGAATAACTACTTAAGTACTACCCTCCTTAGGATATATATATAATAAAGAACTATAATAGAATAGATAGTATATACTATATAATACTAGGAAGCATAGATAATACTATCCTAGGGGTTATATATATATAACTTCCTATCTATACTAAGGATATCTATCTAACTCCCTAAGTATAGATAACTAGAAGTATTAGCCTACTTCTAATTAAAACTAAACTATAGCTACTTTAAAGCCTACCTATTATAGTTTAGTAAGATAGCCTAGGATAACTATAGCTATAATAATACTACCTAATAAATACTATAACATCTTATTAGTAACTACCTACTCTATAGCTCTACTAGGAAAGAAGTAATATAGGAAGTACTTTAGGTATATAATAATAATAGTAGGAATATAGCCTCTATACCCTATAGAGAGCTATTCTAAGGAGATATTAGTTAATAATTTATACTTAAATTTATATATTAGATAAAGGTTTCTACTAGGGTATAGTATATGTAAAGAGTAGACTAAGGGAAAAGAAGAGTAAAAAGAAGAAGAGAGAATCCATTCTAAGCTCTATTAGTAGAGTAAATAATAAGCTCTATAATCCCTCTACTTATAGTTCCTATAGGTACTACCCTAGAACCCCTCTAACTAAAGATAATCTAGGAAGGGACCTCTTTATCTATAATCTACCTAATACCCTCTAGGCTTATATCCCTCCTCTACCTTATATAGAGCCTCTACTAAGATCCTAGCCCTCTAGATTAGGAAGGTATTAACATAACTTAGATAACTACTCTATAACTACTCTAGCTAAACCCTCCTACTCCTAATAATAATTAGATAACTATTTAGTAGTAAGGTAAGGGCTTAATACTATTTATCTATATAGTATACCTAGGCTAGGGCGGCGTATAGAGCCCTATTATTAGTAATAATGTTAATATGTAGTCGTCTAATAGTAGTAACTAGGCTAGATTAAATTAGATAGTACTAGAATGCTATAGTAGAGCATATATATAATCTACCTTACCTACTACCCTATATTATATTTACTTTTCTATGTACGCCTTCTCCCTATCCCCCTTCCTTTCCTTACTCTTGCTCTATACCACCTATCTACTTAGATAATAGTAGGAAGGCTAGTCCTTAGCCCCCCCTTACCTAAAAAGAGCCTAGATAAACTATCCATCTATAATAACCCTATACTAACACTATACTAAGAATTACACTTCATTATATGAGACTCTTTAGACGGGCATCCCTACTTACCTTATAAACGTATGCGGCATTCCCTATAGATAGCTCCGTCTTAGATAGCCTATGGCTCTAGCAAGACGTAAAATAATTAATCAATCAATTAATCAATCAATCAACGATTATGATCTGCATCGCTTTCACTGGAAAAAAATTTCGTACTTTATCAAGTGGTTTCGCCAGTACCCCACTATACAGCGTCTCCATGACCGAAGGGTTGGAGGTGTAAAGGATAACACATGTCGCGGCCAACATAAACCAAGCCCGGCAAGTTCTAGGTTCAAGTCCTAGCCAACCTCCTGCTGTTAAACTTTTTGCTGCTCTCTTTTCAATCACTTTTGACCCTTTATTTTTCTTGGTAGCGAGGGCTGCTGTTTTGTGGTAGCGAGCAGTTGAGGGTGCGGGAAGGGGTTGTAGTGATCAGGTTATGACGTTTGAGGCGGAAGGTTGCGTTGCCCATGGTTACGAAGACTGGGAGTTTGGGAAAGCTCGGGGAGATTGGTACAGGGAGGGTTATGTGGATTTGTGTCGTCGAGAAGTTGAAAAGAAGTGTCGAACAGATGCGTATGACCCCTGAAGCTGTCAGTGTCGATTTTCAATTCTTTGGGTAGCGCTACGAGGAATAATCTGGACTTCTCAGAGAGGTCGTCGTGAAGAGAGCGACGTCGAATGGCGCAAATGCGGTCTTTGATCGCATGTTGAGACAGGAGACTGCGCCCAGGGGTCGTGTGGCCGAATCCAGTGACTCAGGCAAGAACCTCGCGCGATAAGCGATTTCGATGGGATGCTACAGATTATTACTTTTGATTCCGTTCTGCCGCAAAACTATTACAGGGTGCGAGGTTACGATTACATAGGCGCCAGACCTGAACTCAGCCCACTCAAACACGCCTTCGTCCATGTGGCATAGCGACGAACCAGATACACGACGGAGGGGAAGTGAGATCAACTTTGAGTATACCATTGAAAGAAGTAAAGCGTTGTCTGAATTAAGATGTAAAAGGGTTAAAAAAAAATCAAAAAAAAAAAAAAAAAAATCGGGAGGCAGGCGGTGACCAATCGACTTCTCCAGAAAGAAAAAGACAGTGTGATTGGACAACAAGACAACAAAAATAACGGAGCTCCGTGCGCCACACCGCGAATATGCCAGCTTTCCCAACCTGATCGCGCAAAGGTTAGATCCAATTGTGATTTATGGTCTTGGAGGACTCACTTTATCCTAGTAGTCATATCGTCATAAAGGTCACGACTTTACGTCGCTCTTTTACAAGAATATGGCACCCGCCGCGACAGCGCCCAAGAAACCAGCCGAGGCCCTCCAGTCGGGAAAGTGCGCTGCGGCGGCGCCTGTCGCCATGACGACACCGGAAGAGGTGGGAGTCAAGGTCGTGGTTGGCGTGTTTGACGTTGTCGGCGTAGTTGGAGTCGTGAATGACTGAGAGAGGCCGCTGGCGTTGCCAGTGACGCTGCCGCTCGCTCCGCTCGTGCTGCTGTGCGAGCACTTGGCGCAAACAGTGGTGGTAGTGGTCACGTCCTCGAGAGCAGAGGCAGCGCCGCTCGAAGCAGATTGAGAGCTGGATGCGGAAGGAGAGCTGGAAGCAGACGAAGAGCTTGAAGCAGATGGAGAGCCGCCGAGTCCGCTTCCAGTCGCCGACACGGTTGGCGAAGACGAAGACGACGATGCCGGGGATGCAGTGCCAGCAGAGACAGAGGCGCTACCAGTGGGAGATACAACCGGCGAGGAGGCTTGGGTGGTGTCGCAAGGAACGGTGAGAGTGACCGTAGTAGGATGATCGCTGTGGCAAACGGTGCAAACCGTGACGGTTGTGGTAAATCCAGGGGGCAAGTAATTGGAGGTTGTCATTGGCCACGTTGGGGTTTCCCCTGAGCAAGTTTCCGTGACGGTATAGGTATTTGGCACCAGGCCAGTGGAGCAAAGGGTAACGTAAGAAGTCGTGTAGACGGTGGTGTGCAGAGTCGGCACGGGGGTAAGCGTTACTCCCGATACGCTGGCTGTTGCTGAAGGCGTGCTTTTGTGCGTGCACGAAGGGCATGTGGTGATGATGACCTCGTCGGTCTCGGTAACGACTGGAGTGCTCATGGACGAGACACAATCGTCATAGTAGACGTGTGTAATGTAGCTGGGGACGAGGCTTTGCGCAGAGGCGCCAGCAACGACCGCCAGCACTGCCACGGCTGTTGTCCTCATTTGGGTCGTATTAGGTGTGTGTGTGCAGAGAAAAAGTTCAAGAAACAGAGGGGGCTTTTCGCGAAAGAGCGACAATTCAGACAACGAGTGACGGACAGCCAAACCAAGCGGAAGCAATGGAAAATTAAGGAGAGTCGGTGGAGCAGGCTGCGAAGATGGCCACGCAGCTTATAAGCCCGCTTGCGGTTGTTTACTGCATTTTGGAATGCATGGTCTTGGAGGTGTTCCTCACGCGTCGCTACTTACGGGGCTCAGGGCAGCATCTTCTTGAGAGGAATGTGTTTGACCGTGAGACGGCTTTGTGCCAAGCAGTTTGTCTTGGATAGTCAAGACTTTCCAGCCTCTGATATCAACAACCTCAACGCTAGGAGAGAAGAGCGAACGACCTCAGTTGACCCACGGGCGCACCATGGAAAGCGGAAGGAAATACTGGACATGGCGATGCGTCAGTTTCGCTATTTGTTTTGCGACGCGACGTTGTTGCGGTCAAGCTTTTCTGAAGAGGTTGATGTTCGACCTCAGCATTCCAATGTTGGCCAAGCTATTGTCAGGTCTTTGTTCAGTCGCACAGGGTTTGCTGCACTAAACACGGTCGACTGGTCAACGTCGACTTGCGATTCCCAGATGCAGACTGATAATCCGAGAAGCAGAAAGAAATAGCATGATACGGAAAACGGAAAACGCGCAAGTGTCTTCCTGCGCGCCATGTCAGCATGCAGACCATATTCGACGCGTCCATGCCGCGGGGATTTCTCGTGGCCAGACTGCCGCGCGCCTAGAAATTAATCACGGCAACAAGCGGAGAATGAAGGGGATATCTGCTTTTTCATTCATCTCTACCATATCGAGGTCCTTCAAACCCCTCTCAGATCGAAATTCGTCCCATCATTCGTCCATTTCCTTCATGGTCCGGTCTAGCCCTATGGTCGTGATATCATTGAATTTACAAGTTGACCGCAGTGCGGAAGTTGGCGCCAGCATAGACGGCCTGGCTGCCGAGCTCCTCCTCGATGCGGAGGATCTGGTTGAGCTTCGCAAGACGCTCAGAGCGGGCGGGAGCACCGGTCTTGATCTGGCCAGTGCGGAGACCGACGACGATGTCAGCAATGGTGACATCCTCAGTCTCACCGGAGCGGTGGGAGACCATGACGCCCCAGTTGGCGGCGAAGGCGTCCTTGGCAGCCTGGACGGCCTCGGAGATGGTGCCAATCTGGTTGACCTTGAGGAGCAGGGCGTTGCAAGCCTTCTGGTCAATGGCCTTCTTGATGAAAGCGGGGTTGGTGACGGTCAGGTCGTCACTACATTTGGTCAGCTCATGATTTCCCGCTCCTTCTTTTGGCATCAAACTTACCCGACAATCTGGAAGTCAGAAGTCTTGAAGAAGTAGCTCCAGGCCTCCCAGTCATCCTCAGCGAAGGGGTCCTCGATGGAGACAATGGGATACTTCTGGGCAAGGGACTTGTACAGGTCGGCAAGTTGCTCGTAGGTGAGCCACTTGCTCTTGTCGCTGTTGGGGTTCTTGAAGTCGAGGTCGTACTTCTTCTCCTCGGTCTTGTAGAACTCGCTCGAGGCAACGTCCATGGCAATCTTGATCTTGCCAGTGTAGCCGGCCTGCTCAATGGCGTCGGTGATGAGGTCAAGAGCCTCCTCGGGGGTCTGAATGTCAGGGGCAACACCACCCTCGTCACCAACGTTGCCAGCAGACTGGCCGTACTTCTTCTTGGCAAGGGCCTTGAGCTTCTGGTAGACCTCAGCACCCTGGCGCATGGCCTCGGTGAAAGAGGGAGCCTCCCTGGAAGTTTTCGTTAGCAGACTGTCTCGAGGCAGGACGAAGGCACTTACGAAGGAACAATCATGAACTCCTGGAAAGCCAGGGAGCCACCGGCGTGGGAGCCACCGTTCAGGACGTTCATGAAGGGAACGGGGAGAACATAGGGCTTCTTGGTGCCGGCAAGGTCGGAGATGTGGGCGTAGAGAGGGACACCCTTCTCAGCGGCGGCAGCCTTGGCAATGGCCATGGAGACACCGAGGATGGCGTTGGCACCGAGCTTGGTCTTGTTCTGGGTGCCATCGAGGTCGATGAGGAACTTGTCAACCTTGGACTGGTCCTTGACGTCGAGGCCCTCCTTGATCAGAGCAGGGGCAATGACCTCGTTGACGTTGGCAACAGCCTTGGTGACACCTGGGAGAGTTAGGACTTGAGCTGACGGCGTGTAGCAGGTTTTCAAACGTACCCTTGCCACCCCACTTGGACTTGTCGGCATCACGGAGCTCACAGGCCTCGTGGGAACCTATGGAGGAGTCAATGTCTGTTGTTCCGTTGTCGGGTGGTTGTAAACATACCGGTGGAGGCACCGGAGGGGACGATGGCACGGTGGAGGCCGGTCTCGGTGACAATGTCGACCTCGACGGTGGGGTTGCCACGAGAGTCGTAGACGGAGCGGGCGTGGATCTTGGTGATGGCCATTGTTCTAGAGGTTGAGAAGGATGGTTAATCCAAGCAAGAGGTGGGAGAGAGGGCAGCGGCGTATTTTATAGACTGTTTGGATCGGCGACAAGCGTCAGGCACGGAGTCCCATTCGCGTGATGTCAGACGCCTAGTGGGCTCAATGTCTTGAGGAAAAGCGGCCCCTCAGCGTATCACGGTGTTGGTTTGCCGACGCACGGGTTGGGTAGCCAGATCTCATCCCACTGGTGACACGGCGGGTGGGCCGGTTGGTGTGAGGGAGTAAATAAAGGGATTGGCTTACCCTGAAGCAAAGGCGATGGCAGAAGTTCTTTTTGAGCGAAGACGACGAGAGAATTGGGATGAAGTAGCGCAGAAGGAGGGCGAAGGACGAGAATTTTGTTGAATGATGGCGGGGTCGCGGTAGCTTGGCCCGCGTGTTGCGGTAAAGGCGCCTCTCGCATTCTGGACTAGTAGAGGGGCACAAGCCGTTCTCCTGATTGGACCCTAACGGGATCGGTACCAGGTTACAGCCCAGCAACCCGCCGGCGACGGGCGCCGACCACCCACCCGAGCCGAACCCTTCGACACAACGGGTTGATCATACCGATGACAAACCATTCCGTACGTCTCGGCCTCCGACG